TGTGTTACATTTGACAAATTTAAAGTACAGTCATTTACTTCTATAAACAATGCAAGCTTTTTTTTTGGTACTATGACTTTTTTATTTATACTTTAAAAATTTTTTTAATCGGAACAAATTTCATTTAAAAGTATCATTCTAATAAATGTTTTATTTTTAGATTTTGGAATTACCAGTGATAATAGTAAAAAGTACAAGCAAAATATTGGAATGTTTTGTTTTAATTTTTGTTTCAATATTTATTATATATATTAATTTTTACTTCGGTCAACTGCTGATTGATCATAGCAGTAAAACTTTTGATGAATTGTAAGAAAGATTTCATATACAAAGCTTGAAATTAACGACACAATTAATATATATAATAGCTGCTATAAGTAATAGATATTCTGTCAGCAACAAACTTTCTTTATACATTAACAATTTAATATCTACTTTACAGGTGCCAAGTACCAATCTACATACTTTCTAAGAAAAATCAAAAGCTTTTGTTATTATTAACAATGAGAAGTAAGAAACCTAGTGAGCTTTCAATCGGTAGTCTATTTTCATCCTCTCACATAATTTTTGCTGGGGTATGTAAAAATATATTTTTCCCGATTAACAAATTTACTTGAAATATGCAACTTCTTTCAGCTCATTCAAAAATCGTTTTCTTTCGCTATGGCATATCACAGCCTAATGCAGTCAAAATAGTAATCAATAAATAAAAAAAATATTATTTATTAATATTACATAGGAAAATACTCACTCCAAACATGCAACACAATATCTGTTAACTTGTATGAGGTCTGCTCTAACCAACATCTAAATTAATAAAAGCTTATAAATTAATATTGTTTTTATAATTTCTTATTATCATTTCTTTCATTACAAAAACACATTTTCCAAAAACCTATAAGCACTTGTGATATTAATACTCACAAAGAAGCACACCTTTCGAATTCTTGTACATTGAGCTTATTCCTGTATTGATCTCCTTTTTCCACCATTTACAAGTATTTTTAAGGCATCTGTACTGCACTACGGTCGAAGTGCAACTGAGAAGACCTGCTCTAAAAGGACACGCTACTGCGCATGTCAGGGAATGTACGAAATTAAATATATTGCTCCCTTATCCTAATTGTTGGGAATAATCACTTGTTTTCGTACTTATGTGGGTTTAAAACGTTTTGTAAAAAAATCAATACTACAAAGTTGCTATAATCTAAATACTTGAACCCTCGATTATATCGATTTATATCGTTTATTTCTTATTACCCTTACATTGTTTTTTAAACCCTTCTAATAATTGTAATGAGTGGTTATTTGAATGCGCAATGTAAGGGACGCGTTGGGTTTGTTTTTTGTTTCGACGCAGGAAACGGACAGTTCAAAACAATGTCTCGGACAGGACTGATTCAATACGAGCAACATTTTCTTATTTCTAATCGAATAGTACGATTTCTACTAGGTCTCAATAAAAACGTAAATTTAAAGAACATCGAAATACGCAATTTTTTAATATTTATCTTTGTTTTCATATCTTGTTTACAACAGGTAAAATATTTATATTTACTTATCGTTCACACGGTATATATTTCTGTTTAGATTATTTATTTTTATTTAAAATACTCTTTTTACGTAAGAAAAAAGCAATATAAATGTATACTTAGTATATTTTTTTTTTCGCATAAATATACATTATTATATTGTACATATATATGTATAGATTCATTTTTTCAGTTATACCAATGTTCTTACATAACTATGGATTTGCAATCGACTTACACTTTGATGCAACAGATTTTAACATCTTTGTGTATTTCTTCTTCTTTCGGTGTAATTAATTTAAAACTCTCAACAGTATGTATATTATTTCTATCCCTTTCATTTATTAATAGAAAATAGAAGTTATTTATAATAATGAGTAATCGTCTTCTATCTTAGATAAGAGATTTGCTCTCGTATATTAAACACGACTACGAGAACTATCTAGATGAGAATGAATTAAAGATATCCAAAAAAGATACTAAAATAACTAGACTATATATTATTATTTTTGTTGGTCAGTATTCTTATATGAAACATAGAAAAAAAAATTTGACAAGTAAAATCGGTCATTTTTTTAGGCAACGTTGTTCTATACGGTATTTTAATGATAATTCCAACTATGTTCAGCATTATTCTTTCTGTGTATAGACCATTTGACAGTGTCAACATACCATATGTTTTTCCTGTAAATCCTAATTATTCAAGATTTTTACGTTACGGTTTGCTTTTGCACCAAATAATAGCAGTTGTTACCGTATTAGCAATAACATGTGTGATTTATTCAACGTATTTTGTAGCCATTCTACACGCATGTACGCAATTTAATATTTTAATGTATGTCTTTCACTTAAACATTCAAAAATTTTTAAACCTGATATTAGAGTAAAAATAAATAATTATTTAGGATCCTAATCATTGTAGATTTAAAATACGTCAACAGTTTGCTGAGGAAAATTTAATGCACAGTAATAGGGATAATCAAACAAATCAGGTAGAATCAGAGTGGATAATTAACGTAATAAAAAAATATACAAGAGTAACGAAGTAAGACTTCCTAACATGCATTTTTAAGTCTTTCTTTACAATAACTTTGTATTGATAAAATATTTGCTTTATTGTTAGGTATGTAAATTTGATTAATAAATTATCGAAAAAGGTTTATTTAATTAGTCTAATTTTATGTATGATCTTGATTTTCTTTGATATTCTTCATGTAAGTAAAATGTTAAAAAATTGTTACATTTATAAAAAATTAATAATTAATTATTTAATCATTTATTTGTTAATGCAAGGCAAACCTTATGTTTACTATAATTACTTACAGATTGATACTTTCGGAAGTTTTTTACATCTAATAAATTCTCTTATTACTATCTCTCTAATAAATGTTTTTTTTTTAGATTTTAGAAATACCAGTGATAGTGCAAAAAAATACAAACAAAATATTGGAATGCTTTCTTTCAATTTTTGTTTCAATATTTGCTATATATATTAATTTTCACTTTGGACAAATGTTGATTAATTATAGCAGCGGAGTTTTTGAAGAATTGTAGGAAAGCTGAATTAGATAAAATATTACCATATAATTGATAGTGACACAAATAAACACGGCTAAAAATTTTTAGCAAAAATCTTAATTTATGAAAAAGAAATTTAATATTTTATTTTCAGATGCCAAGTACCAATATATATACTTTCTAAGAAGAATCAAAAGCTCCTGTTATTAATAACAATGAGAAGTAGCAAACCAAGCGAGCTTTCAATCGGTGGTATATTTACAGCGTCGCACGAAATTTTTGCTGAGGTATGTAAAAATAAATTACTGCTCTAATAGACAAATTTTTCTGTAATAAGAAACTATTTTTCAGCTCATGAAAAAATCTTTTTCCTTTGCTATGGCATATTATAGTTTAATACAGTCAACATAGCAATTGATGAACACGAAAAAAAATCATTTCTTTCATTGCAGAAGAATAAATCGACCTCACTTATAAGAACAATATGTTCTTGATTGTATAAGGCTTGCCAGCAACCATTAACATTATTAAAAGCTTAATAATTGAAAATTCTTTTATTACTTATTATCATTCCTTTCATTATAAAAACATATTTTCAAAAAACCTATAAGTTCACTGGGTATTTTTATTCACAAAAAAGCACACCATTTATTTTCCTGTACACTAAGCCATTTTTTGCATTGATCTCATTTTTCCACAACTTACAAGTACTTTTAAGGCATCTGTACAGCACTACGGTCAAAGTGCAACTGAGAATACCTCCTTTGAAAAGATACGCTACTGCGCATGTCAGTGAATGTATAAAATTAAATGTATTGCACCCCTTTTCCTAATTGTTGGGAATAACCACCTGTTTTCGTACTTAAATGTATTTAAAACGCTTTGTAAAATAATCAATACTACAAAATAGCTAGAAAGTAAAAAAATGAACCTTTGATTATATCGATTTTTATCGTCGAAGTATTATTATCTTTACATTGTTTTTTAAACGCTTCTAATAATTATAATGAGTAGCTATTTGAATGCGCAATGTAAGTAACGTGTTAGGTTCGTTTCTTGTTCCGACGTGTGAAACGAACAGTTCAAAACAATGTCTCGAACAGGACTGATTCAATACGAGAAACATTTTCTTCTTTCTAATCGAGTAGTACGATTTTTACTAGGTCTGAATTCTAATAAACGTTTAAATGATGTAATGATTCGTAATTTTTTTATATTTATCTACGTTTTCCTGTGTATTTGTTATCAGGTAAAAAATTTTCAGATTCTTATTGCTTAAATTCTATAGTTTTTTGTTTGGAAAATTAATTTTCATTTCAAGGAATAGTTTCATGTAGAGATCACTACTATTAATTCATAGTGTTTTTGTTATTATTTTATTCATATTTTTTACGAAGCTTAGGACTTTTAAAAAAATTTATTGTTCTGTACAGTTTTGACATTTATTTCCTGTTTTTAGTTATATCAATGTTCTCAACTAACTCTGGATTCTCAATCGACTTACAGTATTTTGCAAAAACTGTTAGCTGCTTTCGGAATAGTTTGCTCGTACAATTTGGTAAATTTAAAACTTTCAACAGTGCGTATACTATTTACATTACCTCTGTATTTATTAATTAAAAAAATAGAAGTTTTTGTATTAATGAGTAATGGTTTTGTTTTTTAGATTAGAGATTTAGTCTCGTACATAGAATATGATTACGAGAACTTCCTCGACGAGAATGAAATAAAAATATCCGAAAAATATATGAAAATGACTAGACTATATATCATCTTTTATGTTGGTCAGTACTCTTATTTCAAACACGAAGATACAAATTTGTCTAGTAAACATGTTCTTTTTTTTAGGCAGTGCAATTCTTTACGGTATTTTAACGATAATCCCAACTATTTTCAGCATTTTTCTGTATAAGTATAGATCATTAGACAGTGTCAACATACCATATATGTTTCCTGTAAACACTAATTATTCAGGATTTTTACGTTATGGTTTGCTTTTGTGCCAAATTATAGCACTTTTTACAATATTGACAATGGCATGTGTGATTTATTCAATATATTTGGTATTTATTTTACACGCCTGTACACAATTTACTATTTTAATGTATGTCTATTACTTAAATATTCAACAATTTTTTAATTCTGGTATTTGAGTAAAAATAAAGAATTATTTAGGATCTTAGTTTTTGTAGATTTAAAATACGTCAACAATTTACAGAAGAAAAATTCATACACATAAATACGGATAATCAAACAAATGAGGAAGAATCAGTGTGGATAATTAACATAATAAGAAGATATATAAGAGTAACGAAGTAAGATTTCTTAACATACAATTTTAAGTCTTTCCCAACAATAATTTTGTATCAATAAAAAATTTGCTTGATTGTTAGGTATGTAAGTTTGATTAATAAATTATCAAAAATGATTTATATCATTGGAATTTTTGTATGTATGATCTTGATATTCTTTGATATTCTTTATGTAAGTAAAATATTTGCAATATGTGCTACTTTTACAACATTAAAGTACATGTATTTAGTTCTTTATAAACCTTTTATTTTTTGGGGTATTATGACTTGTTTATTTATACTTTCAAAATTTTTTTTTTCCTGATAATTATTATTTAAAAATATCATTTAAATAAATAATTTATTTTTTAGATTTTAGATATACAAGTGATAATGCAAAAAAGTGCAAACAAAATATTAGAGTGCTTTGTTATAATTATTGTCTCTATATTTGCTATATATATTAATTTCCACTTTGGTCAAATGTTGATAAATCATAGCACCGGAGTTTTTGATGAATTGTAAGAAATCTTCGTTACATAAAGTTTTTTTATAATGACAATAGTTATTGCAATAAACACTGCATAAAATTTCAGTACTAAATTTTCTTTATACATTAACAATAACATATCTTTTTTACAGGTGCCAAGTACCAATATATACGCTTGCTAAGAAAAATCAAAAGCTCTTATTATTAATAACAATGAGAAGTAGCAAACCAAGCGAGCTTTCAATCGGTGGTCTATTTTCATCGTCTAATGAAGTTTTTGCTGGAGTATGTAAAAATAAATTACAATTGATTAACAAATTTACCTTAAATATACAACTTCTTGCAGCTCATACAAAAAGCGTTTTCTTTCGCAATGGCATATTATAATTTAAAACATTCAAACTAGTAATTAATGAACGATCAAATCATGATGTATTTGTTTCTCAAATAATTTACTTCTTTTAAGAAGAAATATAATGTAATTACTTGTCTATAATGTTTTTTGGTAATCGTAAATTACATTATTATATATTCTATTTATATTTCTTTTATTCCATCCCATTATCATATCTTTCTATTTTAAATAATAGTTTCTATATACTTTTTAGCACTCATGGTTTTTATATTCTAAATAAAATAACTACCTTTTATAACCGATCGAAAAGAAATCTACCGTATGCATTTCTATAAACTGCACAATTGATCTTATTTTTTCTAACACTAACTAGTTTTTTCTTAAGCACCTACACTTCACGACAATCAAACAACAACTGAGAGTACTGTTTATAAACAGACGTTCTTTCTGCGCATGTTCTCAAAAATTCAAAGTATTAGGTATAACACCCTTCGTCTAATTGGTGGGAAATATCATCTGTTTTATTATGCACCCTAGAATGTACAGCAATAAAATAAAATATATACATACTAAACGCGTAACATTGTATAGAATATATATATTGTTAGTATTATTTCTATGTCAAAATTTGTTACAATTACTGCTATTAAATATAATGAGCACATATTAGAATGCGTAATAAAGACGAAGCGTAAGATTTGTTTTTCATTTCGAAACTGACAAGATAAAATTCTTTACAATGTCTATGACAGCATTAGATCAATACGAACAACACTTCCTCCTTTCCAATCGACTAGCGAGATTTGTATTGGGTATAACACCTAATCAAAATGCTAATAAACTTTTGTTTCGATTCTGTACATTAATCATCTATCTCCTACCAATAGTTGTGATTCAGGTAAAAAAGTTATTTATTTTTCAATTATTTATGAATTAATAATATATGATCATAGATATTAGTATCATATTTAAAATTATTTTGTCCGTATTTTTAAACATATTTTTAAATTATTAAAAACTTTATACATTTTTATACCTATTTAACATTTTCAGTTTTATCAATCTTTTTTGTCGGATATACAAATGAAATCTAATTTAATTTCGCTTCAGAAGATTTTGAGTGGTTTATGTATCTGCGGTACATACAGCATTATTTATTTTCATTTTAATACAGTTCGTGTACATTTTTATTATTATTATTCTCTCGTATATTAAACAATTAAACAAATATTTATAACTATCTATAGAACAAAAATATATATATTTAAGATTAAGAAATTATTCGCTCATGCCAAACAAGATTTCCAGCAGTTGTTTGAAGTGGAGGAATTATGCATTTTAGATAAATACACTAAACAGAGTAAAAGATTTTCAATTATTTTCGTTGGTTTGTATGTTTGTTCAAATAATTGTGAAAATCAAATTTTCCTGACTAATTATATTTTTTCTTGGCAGGTTTTTTTACACTTTATGCTATTTCCTTAACCATCCCAAGTATTTTAAATGTTTTCCTACATATTTTTGGATTATTAGACGACATTCATTTAACTTTACCTTTTCCTGTAAAAAACGTTTTAAATTCTGGTTTGTTATATTACAGTTTACTGATTTATCAAGTAATAGCAATTTTTGTCGTATTGATAATAAGCAGCGTTATTTATCCATCGTTTTTGGTAACCGTACAACACGCGTGTTTCCAATTAAATATTTTAACGTACGTTTATTTAATAGTAAACAAGAATTAAGTATTATTATGCATATGAATATTATGTTAAAACATGTTTATCGTAGGATTAGAATACGTCAACCATTTAACGAAAAGAGATTTAAAAAAAATTATTCGAATGATAGATCGCGAGAAATGGAATGGGAATGGATAATTGACATAATTAATCGTTATGCAAGAGTTACTAAGTTAGTGTTAAGTTTATTTGATTTTTGTTTCCTTTATCATACCCTAAAGTGATATTTTTATTTTATTACTTTTAAGATACGTGTATCTAATAAACAACTTATCTAAAATTATTTTTTTACTTGGTGCTATATTCGTAATGCTCCTCATGTTTTTCAATCTTCTTTGGGTAAGTAAAAAACATACGTGAGTATTAATAATATCTTTTATATATGTTTTATTTAAATTTAATTTATTTATATATAGATATCGTTTTAATTTATATATTATATTTCTAATTTAATTTTTAATTATCTAAAACGGATTTTATTTTGGTGGAGGAAAATATCTTGTTTACACAGATGGTTTTCGATTTCAGATAATGCAATTATCTACAATACTGCAAAACACTAGGGATACCGTTGAATGTTTCATTTGTATTGTTGGATCTATAGTTACTATTTTTATTATTTTTTACATGGGTCAAACCCTCATTAATCATAGCATAGCAGTTTGCGATGAATTGTAAGATTATTTTACAAGTTTGAAATAATTTATTTTTGTTTTTCATCTCATTGGAAAACTTTTCTCAACTATACTCTGTATTTTCTAAAAAGTAAGAATATTTTTGTTTACAGACGTCAAACTCCATTCTACGTGCTTTCGATAAAAACTCAAAAACTTTTGCAATTCTTGATAGCAAGAAGTATAAAACCGTGCGAGCTTTCAATTGGTGGATTGTTCGTTGCGTCTCATGAAACTTTTTCTGTGGTAAGTGCAATAAATTACGCTTTTTTTAATATTCTATATGGAATTTGCCATATTAAACTCCCAATTTTATACGAAAATTATTGAAACTAGTAAACAAATTATTATTTCAGATCCTTCAAAAAGCATTATCATTTGCAACGGTATATTACAATACACTGTCATAAAAATTAGGATTTTATTAATTTAAAATACGCGGGTACTTTAGTATTTCTTATAGAAGATTCCACTTTTTCCTAAGAAGAATAAAACTTATTTAAAAGTTTCCAAAAATTGAATTATCTCATCACTAGTATTGAATATATAATTTATTTTTAATATTCATTTATATAATGTTTTTAATATATTTTCTTATCTATCATCTTTACTTTAAATTCCAGAATATATCAATTTTATTATTTGGCTTTTTACATACCGGTTTTCAATAAAAAAAAAGTTTAATTTATGAATCTGTCAGCATCAAGGTCCAATATCCGTTACTCACTCCTGCAATGATATGTATTTAATAAAAAATCTAATATACTATTATATAAATACTTGATATATATATAAATCTCTTAATACTATATTCTTTCATATAATAATAAGTTAAATTACAGATCAATATTAAATTGTCCTGTAATCCTTTATATTAATTTCGTTTTGAAAATTGTAATAGCTATTACACTTTTTCTTAAAAA